GAACATGTGGCGTCGTCTGCCGAGCCTCCAGCAAGACGCGCGCCGCGGGATCCCGCGCTGAGGTCTTGGCAGAGCCAACCTGCAGCAGGTGCCTTCCGCGGGGTTATTGCCGTCGCAGGCGCGGTGAGTGAGCGCCCATCGTACGAAGCCAAAGGAGACGAAGAAACACCAGAAGAGGTCGCCACAAGCGGGAAAGAAGAAGAGGAGCCGCCTGCCGTCGAAGTGGGCGGTACCGAGGAAAGCGAACATGAAGAGGCCGATCTTGAGACCGCACCAACAGACGAGCTGAAGGTAGAACAGATATCACACCCTTGACCACCATGAGCAGAGCTAAGAGCCAGGCTCGCGAGCCTCAACCTTGGCCCGAGCTGCGGCCGCCTTGGCTCGTGCGAGGGTGTCAGAGCGCGCCTTCTCAATCCGCTTCTCCTTGTCGGTCGGCTCGGCAGGGGCCTCAGCAGCCATGGGCTCAGCCTTCGGCGCATCAGCCGCAGGCGCCTGAGAGGAAGCAGCACCCTGGCTGCCCGCGCCTTGAGAAACCGCCACCCCTGTCGCAACCGCGCCATCAACAGTCTTGCGCTTCTTACGCAACTCGCCCATCCGCTTCTGGTATTCCTCCTGGTGCGTCTTGCACTGGGATTTAATGCTCGTGAGCGCTTCGTGCAACGAGGGTCTTGACCTGCTGCGACTGCTCGAGCTTGAACTTTTCAAATCCCTCGCGGTCCTCGGGCGAGAAGGCAGGCCCCGAGACGTCAAGCTCTTCACCAAAGTCGAGCTTGATCTCATCAGCGGAGTACTTGAAGAGGGCATCGAGGGAAATGATGTTCTTGCTGGGAGTGGGCTCAACAGGCTTAAGAACTCCGACGGCCAGCGTACGAGTGGCTTGCTCAAGTATGTCAGCGTTCTCAAGGTCCTTGGCCATGAGCTCATCAAGGTGCTTGTCAAGGTCGCCGGCCTCCTTGTCCAGCGCCACGCGGCGCGCCAGGGCCTTGTCAAGCTTCTCCTGCGAAGCCTTCTTGGCCTGCGAGGCACGCTGCCACTCGTCCTGAGGCGTCGCCTGGGGCTGGGGCGGCGGCTTGGGCACGAACTGAGCGAGCAGCTTCTGGGCCAGGTCGGGCGCAAGGTGCGACGCAGCCTCCTTGACAGCCGCGAGAGCTTGAGGAGGAATGGCCTCAGAGGGGCCCTGCTGCAGCTGCTGCGCCTGGGTACCCTTGCGCCCGCGTGCCTTGGACTTGCCGCCTCCATCACCCCATCCTGACTCCTCAGCAACGGTGTACTGAAGCATCTGGCCGCCGACGCCGACAGAGGAGCTGGGAGGGTGACACTGGGACTGGCACCGGACACAGAAATTGTGCCGCTTGGCCAGGATATCATTCCAAGTCGAATGGCCACAAGAGCACACAGTGTACAGCCGAGCACCACGATTCTGCCCAGCCTTGGCGCCCCCAGGCGGAACTCGGACCCAGGGCTGCCTCGTCCAAGTTCCTTCCGCATCATCAGGGATACGCCACGGGGCAGGGGCCATCGCGGCGTCGTAGCAACAAGCTCCGTCAGGAGCTCACGAAAAATGGGCTGCCAGAGGCCCGTGCAGTACTGGCAAAAGCTGTCAGGCACAAGGCCTTGGCACTGCTGCGGACTAGCAGCTTCCAGTTCGGCACGAGGGCGCAGAGCCCTCAGGTGCAGCATTCTTGAGCCAAAATGGCTAGGGAGTGGGGCATGCCATCAGGAGGGGGAGGAGGAGGAGGGGGAGGAGGAGGAGGAGGAAGAGGAGGAGGAGGAGAAGGAGGAGGAGGAGGAAGAGGAGAAGGGAAGATACCAAGACAACCACGAGACTGCTCGAAGCGTCCTCAGAGCCTCCCCTGGATACTCCCAAGCCCAAGTCCTCCAAAACCCAATGGTTCAATGACTTGTGCTTCCTCCTCATCATCCTCCTCCTCGCTTTCAGTCGTTTCCGATACGCTTCTGAAGCCGCAACATGTTTCCAAGATCGCCCTAGGCAGCCCCGGCCCCATGGACCCAAACGAAATCTAAGATTGCCCCAACAGCGTCTCATAGCATCACAAAGCCCTCGCAAGAGGGCCCCAAGGGGCCACTTGAAGATATCCATGCTTTGGATCGCTGCCCTCCAAGATGGTCCAACGAGGACTCGAAAGGCCACAATAGGCACCACAAAAGCTCCAAAAGGCCCGCCAGAGAGCCCCAGTTGTCGTCAATATGGCCCCGAGAGGGTCCCAAGATGATCCAAGCAAGCTTCCCAGACACTTCCATGTAGAAGCACCGCGCGAAGGTATTCGTGGCTGACTCCCGGGTCTGCTCAGGCGGATCCCGAGCTTCGGTTTCACGGCTTCCCCTCCCCTCTTTGCTCCATTGCTTGCTCCTACACTTCTCTGGGCACGGCCACCTTTTTCGCTGTAGTCCTTTTCTGTTTGTGTTTTTTCTTGTAAACAGAAATTCTGGATTACGGATCCTGCTACACAAACTGGAATCTGGAAACAGGAAGAGAAGCAGGAGAAGGAGGCGAAGGAGGAGGAGGTGGAGGAGGAGTAGGAAGGCTTCTAGATAAGCTGGTGGGACTACAACATGCGTCAAGAACGAGCGTGCTGAGTTCCTCGTCCCCATTCTCCTCCTCCTGCCTCCCTCATCCTCCTCCTGCGAAGGCGCGCCTTCTCATCCTCTTCCTCCTCCTCCTCCTCCTCATTGACTCGTCCTGCTGCCGCTGCTCTTCCTCCCCCTTCCTCCTCATCCTCTTGCATGTCTCCATCCCCATCCCCCGGCCCCAAGTTCCGCCAGCTGTTGAGTTTTTGTTGCTCCTCCTCCTGCCCCTTCTGCCGCCCAACCTGCTGCTGATGCCACTCCCCCTGTCCCTCCTGCCCCTCGTGCCCCCCCCCCCACTCCTGCCCCCCTACCCTCCCCACCTAGCCGTCACTCGGATGTCCTTCTCCCCGAGCATTTTGTTTCGGCTTCGTGCGCTTATTTGTCGCTATATGATACAATATGCTCCTCGATGGCCCTCGCCGAGAAATTATCCTGGTGAAGAACCCAACCATTGCAGTTGTGGGTACCGCAAATGTGAGCATCTTCTTCGGTGGCGATCCCTTTGGGGCCACGAACCGCATGAGGGGTGTGCCGAAATGTGAGGCGGTGACGCATGCGAACGCAACCACTGAGGCCTTCGGTGGAGCTCCATGTGGGGCCACGAACCGTGTGAGGGGTGTGCCGAACTGTGAGGCGGTGACGCATGCGAACGCAACCACTGGGGCCTTCGGTGGAGCTCCCTATGGGGCCACGAACCGTGTGAGGGGTGTGCCGTAATGGGTGGCGGTGACGCATGCGAACGCAACCACTGGGGCCTTCGGTGGAGCTCCCTATGGGGCCACGAACCGTGTGAAGGGTGTCCCGTAATGTGTGGCGGTGACACATGAGTCACATGAGAACGCAACCACTGGGGTGTTCGGTGGAGTGGGCCACGAACCGTGTGAGGGGTGTGCCCGAATGTGAGGCGGTGACGCATGCGAACGCAACCACTGGGGCCTTCGGCGCGTGAGGGGTGTGCCGAATTGGGTGGCGGTGACGCATGCGAACGCAACCACTGGGGCCTTCGGTCGAGCTCCTTATGGGGCCACGAACCGTGTGAGGGGTGTGCCGAATTGGGTGGCGGTGACGCATGCGAACGCACCCACTGGGGCCTTCGGTGGAGCTCCCCATGGGGCCACGAACCGTGTGAGGGGGTGCCGAATTGGGTGGCGGTGACGCATGCGAACGCACCCACTAGGGCCTTCGGTGGAGCTCCCTATGGGGCCACGCACCGTGTGAGGGGTGTGCCGAACTGATGATGATGGTGATGATGATGATTGGTGACGGTGATGCTGATGATGGGGATGCTGATGATGGGGAGAGGGAGGGGGGCAGCGGGAGGACGCGGGCGCTGTCTGTTCAAAACGAGGACCCAACACCACAGGATGGCTGGGAAAAACGCACGTCCGTCGGAATCGAGCAAGGGGGGGAAGTGAGAAAGGCGCGTGCCTTCTCAGAGGGCTCGGGAGTCCCCCCGCCCTCAGAGACATTTTCTGAACCTTCCCCTACAGCACAGACAACCTCTCAGAATGCGTGAGGGCTTCGGAGAAATCCCCCCACCTTCTGAAAAAGCCTTCTCCTTCTCATTCTCACCGACCGCCCCGGTATTCCAACAGGCCTACCTCTAAATGTTCTTGGAACCGTAGAAATATATGTATACAAACGTATATGCACATGCATGTTATACACATTAAGCATAATACGGTAACAAAAGCGAGTCATGTTCTAATAGCCGAAGCAGTGTTCTGAGAGCGTAGGAGCCGACGTGTTCAGACAGGACGGCCCCAGCCAGAGAGGCTACCAGAACACCTCGCGCAGACCACAAGAAGCTCTTAACAACCACTCCTCGGTGGGCCTCTGGGCGAGCCAGGGGGCCCCCTCGCCACTGCCCGACCTCGCTCGCCGCCGAGCCCGAGCGACGCCGGGCCGCCTGCGCCGGGCGCGGGGCAGCTCACTGCAGTGGAGGCCAGTCCACAGGAAACCTTCCACAAGAAACCCAACCCTGAGACCCAAGGACGTCCATGAATCTGTGGCGCGGGAGCGCCACGCCGTCCGTCGCAAAACCAGCGAACCGCAAGAAATCGAGGCCCCCTGAAGACAAGCAGGGTGTTTCTTGGCATGGGCCCCCACTGTAACACACGTCCTGAGGATCATCGATCTTGCCGTGCCCATGTAGATCGTGCAGTGGGACCCCTCCCGCGCGCGCAGCAGGGGAGGAAAGGAGGAGGAGGCTCCGCTGGAGCGCGTGCGGAGGAGGAGGAGGAAGAGGAGGAGGAGGAGGCGGAGGAGGAGGCGGAGGAGGATAGGGAGGAGGCTGAGGAAGAGAAGAGGAGGAGGAGGGAGGAGGGAGGAGGAGGAGGAGGAGAAGGGGTGCTTCTTGGTATGGGCCCGCACTGTACCTCCCCCGCGCCCCGAAGGGGGGGGCTGGCCTCTGCTGGCCGCCCTGCCCGAAGAAATTGCGCGCGGCGGTGAGCATCTGGAAGTCGGTGTCTGGGTCACCTTTGGGAGGCGGAGGAGAAAGAGGAGGAGAAGGGGGAGGAGGAGGAGGAGGAGAGGAGGAGGAGGAGGGAGGGAGGAGGAGGAGGAGGACGAGGAGGAGGAGACAGAAGAGGAGAGGGAGGAAACGGAGGAGGAGGAGAAGGAGACACTGGAGGAGGAGGAGGAGGAGGAGGAGGAGGAGGAGGAGGAGACACTGGAGGAGGAGGAGGAGGAGGAGGAGGAGGAGGAGGAGGAGGAGCAGGAGGAGGGGGGAATTATTTCGTGCGCGCCTCAAAAGACCAAATGCTTTTCTTGAGGGCATCCTAATTTTCTTCGCTTCTGGGGGGGGGGGGCCAAGGCGGAATAGGAATTAAACGAAGCCAAGACTTGGATAGAGTCGGGTGAGGATAGCTCGAGCATCTCTGAGATCCGGCGGCTCTGGAGAATGTATCGGGCGCCGCTGTCTTCTCAGAGCGATCCGGAATCCCCTGAGAGCGTTCTGGAACGAGCTGGAACGAATTCATCCTCGTCCTGGCCCCGCCCGAAGAAGGAGGATCGGCGGCGAGCGGGGGGAGGAAATGAGAAGGGGCGGACCTTCTCAGAAGGCTCGGGAGCCCCTAGCCTTCTGAGAAATGTTCGAAACCTTCCCCAAAAACACGGAAAACTTCTTAGAAGGTGCGACGGCTTCTGAAAAATCCAGCCGCATTCTAAGAAGGCTTTCTCGTTCTGATTTGCCCCCCCCTCGCTCGCCGCCGAAACAGGAAGGAGGGAGGGAATGAGGGAGGGGGGGGGAGGGAGAGCAGGAACGGCAGCAGCAGCAGCAGCATCAGCATCCAGAGGAACATGATGACGACAATGATGGACTGATACTCGGCGCAGGATGTGGATCTTGCGGCCCTCGTCACTAAAGCCCGCATGGAACACCACGCAGCACTGGAAGTATTGGAACGTGTCGCGGTCAAGATGCCTTGCTACTCCCAGACCTCCGACGCTGTCATGTTTCACCGCATGGATCTGCGGAGGTCTACATCGTTTCTTCGGGACCGAGATTTAGTCCCGAGGAGTTGTTTCTCGGTCTCGAGGCCCCCCATGTGGAAAGCGGAGGGGAACCTCCCGTCGTTTCTGCTATGCCGAGCGGAGGTCGTGGACTGCGCTGATCTCGGGACGAATTCTGCCATAAACATAAGCTCTCGGAGGAGGGGGAGGATGGGAAGGAGGAGGAGGAGGAGGAGGAGGAGGAGGAGGAAGAGACACTGGAGGCGGAGGAGGAGGAGGAGAAGGAGGAGGAGACACTGGAGGAGGAGGAGGAGGAGGAGGAGGAGAGGAGGAGGAGGAGGAGGCGGAGGAGGAGGAGAGAAGGAGGAGAGAGGAGGAGGAGGAGGAGGAGGAGGAGGAGGAGGAGGAGGAGGAGGAGGGGGAGGAGGAGGAGGAGGAGGAGACACTGGAGGAGGCGGAGGAGACACTGGAGGAGGAGAAGGAGGAGGAGGAGGAGGAGGAGGAGGAGGATACGGAGGAGGAGGAGGAGGAGGAGAAGACACTGGAGGAGGAGGAAGACTCTGGAGGAGGAGGAGAGGAGGAGGAGGAGGAGGAGGAGGAGGAGGAGGAGGAGGAGGAGGAGGAGGAGGATAGGGAGGGGGAGAGGGAGGAGGATGAGGAGGAGGAGAAGGAGGAGGCGGAGCAGGAGGAGGAGGAGGAGGAGGAGGAGGAGGAGGAGGAGGAGACACTGGGTGAGGAGGAGACACTGGAGAAGGAGAATGAGGAGGAGGAGAAGGAGGAGGAGGAGGAGGAAGAGGAGGAGGAGCAGGACGAGGTCCGCGCGGGCTTCTCGCCCTCGGCACTGGACCCCCCCGCTCTTCCTGGCACGCGGAAGCGCGGTGGAGAGGCAGCGACGGAGAGGCGCCGCCAGAGGGAGGGGAGGGCTCCAGCGCGGATCCGAGGATACCGCGCGGACCTCCACAAGCTCATGGTAGAGGCATCCCAGATGGGGTCCGAATAGATGGGGTCGGAGGATCGCGCCGCATCGCCGATGCATCGCCGATGTATCGGCGATGCATCGGCGATGCATCGGCGATGCATCGGCGGTGCATCGGCGACGCCGGCCGGCGTGGAGAAAATGGGGCTCGAGCCGTATCGCCGATGCATCGACGATGCGGCGCGATCCTCCGACCCCATCTACTCGGACCCAACCTGAGAGGCCTAGACATGCTCATGCCATCATCCCCAGACATGGTCGCGGCGTAACACAAATCATGATTTGTTCACCGTTTTCGGCCTCTGGGGGCCCTCGCGGGGCCCTGGGGCCGTCAGCAAACGACTCAACATGAAAAAAGCCGGTCCCAGGGAAAGGGTCGGGACTTCCGGGGACGCCATTATTATGAGGAAAATCCTGGAGGTCTCGCGCGGCAACTTGAGACCCGATTTACGTCGGATTTACAACGGGTCTACGTCGGACTACGTCGGACTTTCCTCGGATTCACGTCGGACTGACTCTGGAGCATCGCCGCGCGAGCGTCGACCCATAGCTTACGGAGCTGACGTGTGGACTGGATAATACTACTCTTACGCGCCGCGCAAGGCCTCCAGGATCATCTTCATTACCATTACCTGTTTCCCGATGGTCCTCCTCCTCCTCCTCCTCCTCGTGCCATCGCTCGGACGTTCATTCCCCGTGCGTTTTTCGGCTCCGCGCGTGTTTCCCGCAAGATTGTCCAGAATTCAAGGTGCCCAGGGACACACACATAAATACACACACGTAAAAGGATTCCCCACATGTTTCAATATTATGTTGATTTTTGTCTTCCCCCCCCACTTCCCATATCTTCCCGTAAAAGTCTGGGGAAGCGACGACTAATTGTGTATGTGTTTTTCCCCCTCCTGGAGGATGCTCCTCGACAGCCCCCCGCCGAAAGCAACGTGCGCCCGCCCGCGCGACGTCGAGCCCTCCTCCAGGCGGGGACGCGTCGCCGCTGCAGATCTGGTGCACCAGGCGGCAGACCTGGCGGCCCGGGGAGGCAGGCAGGCGAGCCCGGCAGCGCACCGAGGCGTCGGATCGGCGATCGGCGCGATCGAAACGCACGGGATCGGCGATCGAAACGAATGGGATCGAAACGATTGAGACGAGGCACAAAAAACGGCACACGCATAAACTTTTGACGCTCCGCGCGGATTTCTTGGATGCGCGCTGGGCCCGCCACCCTGGCGCGCGGAGCGCGCCAGGGCCGGCGCCGGAGGCGCCGCCCGGGGGGCCCAAACGCGGATACAAGAAATCCGCGCGGAGCGCTAAAGGTTCATGTTTACAGCCGAGGCCAATCCACAAGAAACCTTCCACAAGAAACCCAACCCTGAGACCCCAGGACGTCCATGGATTCTTGGAGCGGGAACGCCACGCCTCCCATCGCGAAACCATCGAAACCCAAGAAACCCAGGGCACCCTGGAGGCAAGCAGGGTGTTTCTTGGCATGGCCCTCCACTGTCCACTGTATGTTTGCGGCGTTGTTTCTTCGAGACCTCGGCGACCACGCCAGGGGAAGCCGAGTCGGCAGACATCGGCGGGCCAGCTGGCAGGCCCCGGAAAACCCACACCTCGCTTAGCTGCTGCCAGACGTGCCCGAGGTGCTTCCAAGATCTCTCAGGACGCCCCCGCGACCTCACGAGGCCCGCCTCACGAGGCCCAGCGGGTGCCTCAGGAGGCCCCCGCGACCTCACGAGGCCCCCGCGACCTTATGAGGCCCAGCGGGCCCAGGATTTCCAAGGAACGCCCCTCTCGAGGCCCCGCGTGCCCCAGAGGCTTTAAAACGGAGCGACAAGCGAGGGGCAGGCACCTTGGGCCAGGGGCACGTTCGGCAACCCCCGAACATCAGAAAATCATAACCCGGCTGACATCGGATCAAATCTGAACCGGAATCGATCGAACTCGAATCGAAGCGAGTCGAATTCTGGGGGCGCGCGCCCCCGCGTTGGCGCTCCCCGCATGGACCTGACAAAGCTCAGCCGCACGCGTACCTGCACGACCACCCTGCGGGTGATAAGGAGGTTGGGGGGGGGAGGGGGGCCAGCAATGGGCAACAGTGGTGATTGTTGCGTTGCCGCTCGCACTTTGGACCATCGATCCCACTATCGATCTCACTCGATCGATCTCACTATCGATCTCACTCGATCGATTTCACTGTCGATCTCACTCTGGATCTCGCTATCGATCCTACTATCGATATCCCTGTCGATATCACTCGATCTCACAATCGATATCACTCTTCATCTCACGATCGATCTCACTATCGATCTCACGATCGATTTTACTATCGGTCTCGCTATCGATCTCACTATCGATCTCACAATCGATTTCGTCATCGGTCTCACTATCGTTTTCGCACCAGCGGGACACCAAGACACTGGCGGGACACCGGCGGGACACCGGTGGGACACCGCGGGCCACCGCTTGCCGGAGGGAGAATCATTTCGTCCGGCCAGGACCCAGCCACAAGCGGGACACGGGCGGGGCACCCGCGGAACACCGCGGGCCACCGCTTGCCGGAGGGAGAATCATGCGGTCCGGCCGCGCCTCAGCCACAGGAGACTTTCCTCTCGCCCGCCCACGCAGCTTCGCCTCGCCCACACGCACGGCACGCACGAACACGAAACCGAAACCGATTTCCCGGTGGGGGGCTCTCCGTTCCACTTCGATCTCACCCCCCAGCCTCCGACTGACCAGTGTTTGAAGAAAAACATGAGGCCAGCGATGGAGACGCTACTCGACCCATCGCCTCGTTTCGCGGGCTGGATCGACGTCGTCCGAGTCACTGGCATCGGGGAGACCCGCGACTGTCTCCCACAAGGCCATGCCAGCCTGGGTGTCAGGGGTGCGCGAGACAAGCTCCTGCCCCGCCCACCCCGCCCCCCTCTCCGGCCCACTCCCCGCCCCACAGGTGCTAGGGAGAGATGGAAGCGGCGTCAAACTAGCCGTCTCGCAGAACCTCCGAGCACGCAGCAAAACTGGAGGGCACAGAAACAAGCCAGACTTGGGGCGCCTGCCGTTCGAAAGCTTCTGAAGGCGATAAAACCTGAAGTGCTTGACGCTCGTGCCAGCGCGACGCATCACGGGGCGGCAATCGTCAGACAGGCCGACGCTATGCTTTTCAGCGTACGACCCGCACAGTGCACAGTACAGGACAGGACCAGCTCTGTGGAGTGAGTGCTGGCTCGCACTTCGCCTGCACTTGAGCTGGCGGAGCACCGGTCGGGACTTGGCCGACCTGAGTCACACCATGCACCGAAAACGCCGAAACAAAAACGTGATCGCTGGGTCATACAGCGAGTGCGCACGAGGAGGGCCCATGCCGCCCTCAATGGATCCAATGGCCCTGCCGAGAGCCTGTGGTTGAGCATCGATCGCAGTGACACAACCGATTCGACCAGCGACGCGCGTGCAAAACTGGCCGACCATCTCGATCGCACTGCGGGAATCTCTGTGGGCCTGCCTGAGAGGCTCATGGTCTGGATGAAACTGCGCGCGAGGCTTGGCTGACGCGTCAACCTTGGATTCCCGAAACGCTGCCACGTCGTGATCTGGCCATCGGCCACGGCTGAGGCTGGAGCGCGTGCCTTCACACGAGTGACCTCCACCGAATCTACCCCCCGCTCCGACGCCAGCCTCCGCGCCTCCCTCCATGGAATGGCCACGGGGTCGCTGGCCTGGCAACCGCGCCAGCGCCAGCCCCTTGGCGCCGCGCGTCGACGAGAGGCGCGCAGTCAGTGGACAACTTATTCTGGCCCGTGCAATCTCGTGACCTCGCGCCACGCGGAGTCGATTGAGCACGTCCCCCATCCACATCTCCTGAGACGGCCAAACCGAAGAGGCCGGGGGCAGGGGGGCCGCGGAGGCTCCAACGCAGGAGCCTGAGGGCAGAGGGAGGCCCAATACGAGAGCTTAGCAAGGACCTGCCTCCACAGCCAGCACTCAGTGGCCTCGCCAGCCAGCGTGCCTCCACTCCTGGGAGAGGCATGCTCGATCCGCGCGGGCCCCTGATGAGTCGCCCAGCGGGCAGGGTCCAGAACGCTCCAACCAAGCCGCATCACCGCGCCCACAAGGGCCGACGCGGGTCCTCGGATAACGGACCCCACTCTGGATTCAGGAACAGCAGACAGCCTAGACCAAGCCCCACCCAGAAGACGACGCATGTCAGCCCGAGACGCCCAACCACCCCATAGCGCCTGGAGCCACAAGTGGACCGGGGAGCCGTTGCACTCGAAAGCGGGGTCGACCTGACGACCTGCAATCATGAGGTCGAGCCCCGTGTGCCAGAAAAACGCAGCCAACTCTCGCCAACTGTCGGGCCCTCAACAAATGCGCGCTGCTGATCCCGCGAACGCCGCCGGCCCACATCATCCCTGGTTCGGGGCCCGTCTGAACCAACTTGATGGTTTCACCCCAGCTTTCGCCGGGCGCTTGCACCGAGGTATACGCGACGACATGATCCCAAACATTGCCTCTGACCGGGTGAAGGAGACGATGCCCCCCCCCCCGAAGTCGAGGCCCAGATTCCGAACAGGCCTCGTCAAAAACGTCGCCGACGACGGATGCACCTTCCGAGCGACTCGACGAATGTCTTGGCCCATGGCCGTCTGATGCTTCTTTGGCAGCGATATGGCGAGGTTACGCCCTGGCAGTTCCAAAATGAGGAAGTCCTCGGCCCCCTTGAGGTCCCGGGCAACCTCCCACGCATCTCCAACTCGCTGCAACTGCAAATCATCCAGCGCGATCGCTAGATCAACCTTCGGAAAACGCACAGCAACCGCATCTACAGGGGCAAGAAGCACCGGTCTCAACAAAGATGCAGCACAACTGCAGCCAGCTACGATCGCGCGGTCCACGGCGACAATCTCGGTCGAAATCGCATCGAAAAGAACCATGCGATTGATACTGTACGTGGCCAAAATAGAACGCAGTGTTTTGCCGTGAATCCCGTGCCGCCGAGCGCAATAGGCAAGCGCGTGATGGGAAACGTGTTCGCAGGCCTTGACAAGATCCAGCAGCTTGGAACCAGCTGCCCCGCCCCCTAGCCAACTCCGTTTTGAAACTTTGCTTCCAAACACATATGTCGCAAGAGGCCCCCGAATCGCCAAACCAGCGCCCCCATGGGGCGATCGCGCCCCCAAAGGGCCAACGACTCCCCAACGGGCCCATCTGGGCCACATCCTCAACGGTGATGGGAATGCCCCAATCGGCCGGTCCCCTCCATCAGGCGGCGGCTTGGGAAGCAGGGCGACCAGCAGTAGAGACCGGCACTTGTCCACATGGAAAAGACGATGCGTCTGCTCCCAGATGCGAAGAAAGACCGCCAACGCGCCGTCGCCCATGAAGGACCAATGGCGAAGATGGAAAACGCAGATGCCGATGGCCGCGCGCGTGCTGCACATTCTCGCGAGGACTAAACGCTCTGCCTTAGATGGGGGCTCTAGATCAGGTTCGTCAGCGCACCATCCACGCTGCGGTCGAGGAAACTTCTGGCCCACGCCCCATTGCTTGCGCCAGCCCTGAGCTCGAGCCCCAGCCTCAGACACAATGCCGAGCGGAGCCCCATCAGCACCAACGTGTCCAGACAGCCCTGAGACAGCCCACTCCAGGACCTCCTCGGAGTGCCCGTGAGCCTTGCGTGCCTCGCCTGTCATAGCATCCGCCACCGACTCTCTCCAAGATCGGGCCTTCTCCGGGGCCGCGTGATTCTCGCGTTACTGGGCCCGCTTGCGGACCTGCCAGATAACCGCCTCAAGCCCGACTTCCGAAGTAGGAGTGATGCATAGTCTCCAGGAAACCCGATGCTTGCAATCGGTGAACGGGGACTTGCAGTTCACCAACTTCCAGAGTCGAATCCCAGCTTGCTGCGAGCCCCCCAAGGTGGGCCTAGGCCCATGCCAGGAGGTACTGGGTGTCCAACAACCTCCTCTCCAAGACGCGCCACGTTCGACCCTCGCCGATGGCCTTGGGGTGAGTCGAAGCCG